TTGGCAGGCCCTCACACCAGAAGTGCTAGTCCTCTTGAACACAGAAATAATAATATTAAGCTATGTAGCATAGAGGATAGAGCACTGGACCTAGAGTGACCCTAGGCAAGTCACTTAACCACTGTCTGCCTCAGTTTCTTCATCTGTAAAATAGAAATAATAATAACACCTATCTCCCAAGGGTTGTTGTGAAGATCAAATGAGATATTTCTAAAGAAAGCACTTAAAATACTATAAGAATGCTTCCCCTTCCAAACCTCCATCAAATAAAACAGAAGACAAAACCCTGGAAATTCTTAGTGAATGTTTACATGGAATATTTTAAGATTTATATAATTTTTCCTTCTCCCCAAAAAAGGAGATATATAACTGGTTAGAAAACATTTATCAAGGGACAGCACAAGTTTTAATCCTCAAGTGACTCACAGACTCATGGAATGTCGGACCTGGAAAGTACCTTGGAGGTCATTCCATCTAAACTCATTTCACTAATGAGAGAATCGAAGCCAGAAAGATCAAGTGATTTGCCCTGTTACTCAGCAAATTAGTAGCAGAACCAGGAATAGAACCCAGGTCTCCTGACTCCAAGGTCAGAGGCCTTTTCACTATGCCAACAGCTCACTCGATCCATTCACTGAACCAAGAAGACTTGGTCACCAAGTTCTAGTAAGAACCTGAAAGTTAGTATACAATGTACTGGGTGATATCTGAAAATGACTCCTCCCATTTTAAAATCCCAAGTAAGTTGTACGTAGTTTAGTTTGTAAAATACTAGGGAAAGGATTGGCCTTGAAGTCAGGAAAGACCTTTGTGAATACTGCCTCTGACTCTCAGCTATAATAATGGGCAAATCACTTCGGAAGTTGCTTCCTCATCTGTAAAATGGGGATAGCAACACCTGTCGTACCCATCTTACAGATTTTTTTGTTAGGTTCAAATGGGATAAGGCCTTTAAATACACTGCAAACCTGAAAATGCTACTTACAGGGGCAGCTAGGCGGCGAAGTGGTTAGAGCACTGGCCCTGGATTCAGGAGGACCTGAGTTCAAATCCGACCTCAGACCAAACACTTACTAGCTGTGTGACCCTGGGCAAGTCAGTTATCCCCATTGCCTAGACCAAAAAAAAAAAAAAAATGCTACTTATGTACACTGTCTTTTATATTTTAAAGCAAGATCCATTTTCTGCATATGTAGGTAGTGGGGTGGGAATAGTGGAAAGAATGCTATATTTGGATTTAGAAGATACAAGTTCCAATCCCAATTCTAATACTTTCTCTAGCTACAGGTTCTTGGATAAATCATTTAACTTGTCTGAGGAATGGACTGGGCTGTCAAATTCCCAAGCAACCAACAAAACTTCCAAACTGGGTTAAAATGTAATTGTAAAATGTTTAATAAAATAAATAAAAATTCAACACAACATAGATAATGTTAATTTACAATATTCTCAACATGCACAAAGACTGATTTGAGTTTAACACATCTGAACCAGGTGATCTTTGTGGTTCCTTTCAGGTAATGAGCAATCCCTCACCCTCTTTTTCCTTCTTTATTTCTTCTCTTCTTTTCTTCATTTTTCCTTTTTTTCCTTCCTTTCTTTTCTTCTTTTCTTATCTTTTTTCTCACCTCCCTTCCCCTTTTTTCTCTCTTCTTTCTCAACTCATATTTCTCTTCCTTTCTTCCTCCCCTCTCCCCTCCCTCCTCTTTCTCTCTTCCCTTCCTGTCTCTCTCATCATATGATAGATAGAATACTTAAAATGTCAAATATGCAATTCTGGAGTACAATCCTGAAAATGTAACCAACCCTGTTCTGAATGAATGCATGACCGAACTGTGATCTAATAAACTGAAGTGGGAGGTGACATTAATTAAATTAAGGCATTACAATTCATCAGTAGTACCATATACAGAGTAAAAGCTCCTTAGATCATGAACTAAGTGGATGAAGAATGCCTATTGTTCAGGCTATGATACATAGCTATAGAGGCAGGCCATCAGTACACATATGCATGTGTATCTTGGACAAATATTGCAGATGGACAGTGAGCTGGGCCCAGAAATTAATAGGGAAAGAAGAGGCTGGATTGTACGTACATTTGGGAAATTACACAATGTTTTAGTGCCCTCAAGCTTCTCCCTGAAACAAAGGCTCATCTTTTAACACCAATACTCTGCTTGTGATGCTTTCTGACTCTGAGTTGTAAAATACCACAGTCTCCAAAGAATTAAAGTTGCATATCACCCAAAAGATGACATGGCAGGTTAGAGACTGCAGCAGATTACTAACTTGATAACCCAGAAGAAACGGCATAAGAGATCATTAGAAAGGCTTAACCAAGAACAACCAACAACCACTCCTATGCTCCACTGATATCCAGCAAATGTCAAGCAATCCCCAGGAAAGTCCCCAGAAAGCTGGGCAGACCTCCTCTGGAGACATCTGCAGGATCTGAGACAGAGTGGATAAAGATTGAGACTTAAATTCTCAAAGACCTGAGTTCAAATCCCATCTCAGACACTTAACACCTGTGTGTCCTCGGGCAAGTCATTTAACCTCTGTTTGTCTTGGTTTCTTCATCTGAAAGATGGAATAATATCACCTATCTCCCAGGGCTATTGCAAGGATCAAATAAGATAATAACCTTAAAATGCTCTTTAAATGTTATCATTATTATTATTAACAACAGTTAAACAGAATAGGAAGGTGTGCATGGGTGGCATTCCGCACTGCTGAAGGAAGTAGTCACATCAAAGAAATCACAAATCTTGTCCTGTCCAAGTATTTATCTCCTCCCACTGAGGGCAAAGGACAACTTTATTTTGTATTTTGTATCTCTGGTGCCTGGCATATCATAAACAATAATAAATGCTTGTTGGATTGGACTGACTGACGGAATATCAGGACCGGAGCAGACCTTAGGTTCACCTAGTACAACAATCTCATTTCAACGAAGGAGAAAAACAGTCTAGAGAGGCATATGACTTATCAATATTCAACACCCACCCTCCCTGGCATTACAACCCATAATTGATACTTAAATTTTAGACTTTCCCGGACCTACTTTTAACATAACATTGACATTTAAAGAAAAAGAAAAAATTATATTTTAATTTTGAAATTCATTACAAATTATACATTATGTACATCAAAAAGTGGGCTCTTTGAGGGCAAGGGGAAGCTTCAGTTTTTCTTTGTCTTCCTGGCATTTAGCATAGTACCAGGCACATAGTAAGACTTAAGAAATGTTTTTTGACTGACTACGGCACACAGTAAGGTCACATCCAAAGGGAAAGCATCAGGTACTTCTTAAAAATCAGGTTCTCGGGTAAACGGACTCTCAGACACAAATGAACTATCTCTCAAAAATCAAATAGGAGCTGACATTTATTATAATTAATAGTTACTGGCATCTATATTTGGCTTTCTTCACAACTTTGGTCGCTATTTCAAGTATTACCACCCCCATTTTACAAATGAGGAAATAGGCTCAGAGAGACTAAGTGATTTGTCCAAGGCTCACACAGACAGTAAGTATCAGATTTGTACTCAGGTCACCCAGATTCCAAGTCCATTGGCTCTTTCCGCTAAAACACCGTGCTCCAGTAAACCACAAGGACTTACTTACTTGTTGCTTCTCTCCTCCCCCCCCCAAAAAAAGTGAATCTTTAGGGAAATGCACAAATACTCAGTTAGCATTTCCTTTATAGAAGTCCAACAACTCTGCAGTAAAGGGAGCGGGGGAGGGGGAGAATTTTAGGCAGAATTTCAACCAATGAGTAGGTAACTGTAAAAATGCTAGAATTCCATTCTGCACAGGGAGCCTCCACTAAAACAACATGCGGGCTGCAAAAGGAACATTGACACCCAGAGCTCCAATCCAGCCTGCTCTAAAACCAGCCCAGTCCTGAAAAAGCAGCCCCAACAAGCACACACATACTGTCGTTAGTCACTGTGCCCTTAATTTGCCTCTCAGTTGCCTGGCTCTGGGGAATTGCGACGACAACACAGGTTTTTCAATTAACTGAGTGCTGCTGCATTTCAATCTTTTCTGGTGTTTCCGGGGCCAGCTGCTTCCCTTCCAGGCCCCATCGCTCCCTCAACCTCCTTGACCCACCCCGGTAGCCTTAACCCCTGGCCACCCCTTCCCACACCCACTCAGCCAGAGGTTAAAGTCCAGATCGTGGGCTGGAGAATATGCAGACGCACAGACTTCAGACTGAGAACAGCCTCAGAATCCTCAGCTAGTCAGCCCACTTTAGGGGCTGGGGGAAGGGAGGAGCGAAAAAGCACTGTGGAAAAGACATCAAAAACCATCCGACGGCTGCTACCACCGACCGCACAAATGCTGACTCGGTTAAAAAAAAAAAGTCTCTACCCCTGGAGAGGCTCTTCTACTCCGGACTCTGCTTCTCCTCTGGCCCCACTAAACCAAGACAAATGTCCCCCTGCCTCCAATGGTGTGGTGGGCACAGAAGGTCCTCGTCAAGACAAATGGCCCCCTGCCCCTGCCTCAAGTGGTATGGTGGGCACAAAAGGTCATCGCCCCTTAGCCCACCAGAGGCTTCCCTCCCTCTCCTCCCACCAGAAGCCCGAGCTCTCGGCGCGGAGGTGCGACAATCACCCTGCAGCCCCAGTCCCTGGGAGTTGCGCAGCCCTAGCTGCGAACCTGGCCAGCTGAACCAAGGCTTCCTCCGTAACCCCGGGGCAGCTTCTCCGGCGCCTCCGCCCAGCACCTACACACGCTGGCAGCCGAGGACAGGAGCTGCCACCCCTACAGCTCCCCGACGCCAGAGAGCAGCAGGAGAAGAAAGAGCGAACTCCAAGTGTGGAGGAGCCCCACGTTGGCTAGCTTCAGGGGCAAATCTCCGCACCATTCCCCGCCTTCTCTTTCTCCACTCTCTCCTCCTCTCTTCCTCCTCTGGTGGTTGCCACCGCAGCAGCAGGGGATGAATGGGGGCGGGAGGGCAGGAGTGCAAAAGAGGGAGTTATCTGGTTACCTGTTGGTCATTCCCGCCGCAACACCCAACATCTTCCCGGCAGCTCTAAGACGTCCTCTGACTCCAACGCCGCCGCCGCCTCCTCCTCCTGTCCTTTCTCTTTACGCCGCCGCAGCCACTTGAATCAGTCCAGATCCCCTCGCACCCGGGCCACTGGCGCACGTCCGCACGGAGCCCCAGGGCGCAAGGACCCCAGCAGCCAGTGCACGGCTGGGACTGGGGGGCTGGCGGGCCGGGCCGGGCCGGGAGGGGGCTGCTCCCAAAAGCAGGAAGGGGAGGCGGAGAAAGCAGCGGGGGATGGGGCGGGGAGCTTGGAAGAGAGCTCGCCAGGCAGTCAGTCTCCTCCCCGGGACTTCGTAATGGCGCGGCGCTGCAGGCGCTTCCTCGGCCCCTCTCTAGCCCTCTCGCTCACTCCCGCGCGGCCGCGGTGCCTTTTCGCAGTTTGACCGCCAGGGTGGGAGAATGAGCGTGGCTGCAAGCGCCCGGGGACCTGGGGGAGGGGGACCGGGAAGGAGGCATATGGTACGGCCCTCTTCCCAAAACCGCAGCCCTTAGAGGCTAAGCGAACGAGGCCATTCATTCTTTCTCCTCCCCCAACTTCTCTTACTTCTTTCGCCCCAGTTTAGGGAGCTCCCCCAGGTTTGATACCTGGACCCACTGAGTACCCCAGATCAGATTAGAGAAAGCACTAGCAAGGGTAGGGAGAAACTCGAGACACGTGCACTCAGGACTCGGTCTGGAAAGCACGAACTGCCCCCCACGAGCTGGGCTGCGGTAATTCCGTGGTCAAGGTGGCGCTTCTGGCCAGGCACGCTGTGCATGCCAGAAGACAGGACGAGAAAGTTTTTACTACCTTCTCTTTTTAGCTCTGTCAACTACCGCAGGATTTTGCAGCCCCGAATATTCCTTTAGTTAGGGCACTGCTGGTACATCAACAAACAAAGCCAAGCTACTTTAGCTTCATCTCGGGGTCAGTTTGCAGTTCTGTACGGTGGCTTGGCGGTAATAAAGGCACATCAGGTAAAAGAATATGAATGGCTCATTAGAGCTGAGAATTAGGAGATTTGGGTTCTATTCCCAACCTTGCTACTAACTTTGTGAACCTAGGCAAATCACTTAACCTCATTTGGATTGGAGGATTTAGAGCTGGAAAGGGCCTTAAAGACTTCGTAGCCCCCCACTCTCACACCTCCTCATTTTGCTGGTGAGATAGTAAAAGTGGAAGAGTCTCAAGTCAGGAGAACCTCACTTGAGGATCTAGAGGGCCCCATGTGGCCTCGAGGCCGCAGGTTTTCCTCCCCTGGTAGGTAGCGCCTGTCTTATTTGTAAAATGATAATGATCATGCTTATTCCATTACAATGCTATCGAAAGAAAGAGAGGTCCTATCCAGGCAGAATTGTGGAATAGATATTTAGGGAGTTCTCAGTCTCAATTTCTATCCATACCTAAAGGGGGAGGCTAACATTCCCCTCACTGTTCTCTTCAAGGTTCTATCAAAATTCTTTCTCTGGGAAAAATCTGATATCAATAATTTACACAATATAAATTTCCTCTTAGAAGCCATTTGCACTATATCCTTCCCTCTACTGGTGAAATGAAAAGTTCAGCCTCCTATCAAAGGAATTCCAGGCAGGGTGTAGGTATTTGGGAAAGGCAAGAGCCCCTATGACTGAAATAAGACTCAGCTAAGGGGCAGCTAGGTGGCGCAGTGGAAGTAACAGGACCTGAGTTCAAATTCTACCTCAGACAAGTACTTACCTGGGCAAGTCGTTTAATCCTGATTGCCTAAAAAAAAAGAAAGAAAGAAAAGAAAAGAAAAAAAAACTAGGCTAATCTATTCCAGGTAAAACTGCCGCCGCGGCAGATAGCAGTGTCAACAAGTGTTTATTAAATGCTTACTATGTTCCATGCACTCACCGCCGACCCAAAGAAAGTCAAAAACAGTTCCAGACTTCAAGAGGCTCACATTCTAAAGGGGGTGAGAGTGAGGGTAGGAACATGCAGGCAACTATGTACATATGAGATATATGCCGGAGCTCAGAGAGAAGGCACTAGCTAGGGACAAGGGCAGGAGGCTGGGGAACCAAGAAAGCCCATTTGCAGGTGGCATTTGAATCTTGAAGGAATCCAGAAAGGGGAGATGAGGAAGGGGAACACTCATGGAATGGTGGTCAACTAGTGAAAAGTCAGAGTATGGAGACAAGCAAGGCCAGGACAGTGTCCGTAGAGAGATAGCACTTATTATGTGGCACTGGGGATTCAAAGAAAGGCAAAACAGTCCCTGACTTAAAGGAGCTCCCTTCTAATGGGGGAGAAAACATGCAGGCAATTATGAAAATAAAAGATACACATGGTGTAAATGTACCGAAGTAGTTGGTGGAGTAATAGGTTAAGCTAGGTGTGGAGTGAATGAACATGGCCGGACTGGGTGCTTCCTCAACTGGAAATTCAGGAACAAACTCACCAAACATTGTAGGAGACTGAAAGCAGAGAAAGGAGACCGCCACGGAGCAGATTTCAGGAAGTGGTTGGCGGAGCAACTAGATTGTAGAGTTACGGAGGGGACTAAAGTATAAAAAGACTGGAAAGGGTAGAAGGGACCAGGTTGTGAGCGGCTTTAAAAGCCGAGGAGAATTTTTTCTTCTATATTGAAGGTAGAAGAAAAGCACTGAAGAGTATTAAGTAGGAGAGGGTGACTTGGTCAGACCTGTGATTTAGGTAAGTCACATTGGCAGTTGAGCGGCAGATGGGCTAAAGTAAGAAAACACTTGGAGCAGGGCTACACAGCAGAAGAGGGCTATTGCAGTAATCCTGGCATTAGGAATTGAGAGCCTGGACCAGGATGATTGAACAGAAGGGAGATGAGAAGGTAGAAACAATAAGATTTGGCAACAGATTGGATATGTGAAGTGAATGCAAGCGAGAAATACAGATTCTAGACAGGAAAGTATTTTGAGAAGTTAAAGCACTATACAAATAAATGTAAGTTGTATAATTATCATGGGTAGCTAGGTGGCACTGTGGATAGAGTGCCAGGCCTGGAGTCAGGAATGCTCATCTTCCTGAGTTCAAATCTGGCCTCAGACACTTATTAGCCACTTGACTTTGGTCAAGTCATTTAGCTTTGTTTGCCTCAGTTTTCACATCTGTAAAATGAGCTGGAGAAAGAAATGGCTCTCCAGTATCAGCAAAAAAACAAACAAAAACAAATGGGGTCAGAAAGAGTTGGAGGTGACAAAACAACTGTGAATTTATGAGAGCATATGACCAGGAGTCAAATAGGACAGGCAGCCATGGATGAATTTCAGTAAGCCTCATTGGAGATAAATCTACTTCAGAGAGGTCATAGATCAATTTGATCACGTGAGTATTTGGGAAAGCGGGCACACAGGTTCATAGGTCTTAATGTCATCTTTTTTTTGAGGATGGAAGTACCATTGTGATCTTTTCTATTCTTTGAGAATCTTGCCCTCCTTGATATATCATAAGAAATGATCCTTGGGTGCTTCTGAAATAATATTTTTCCATATGCTCCCTTTCTGGCTTCATCTTCTTAGGTGCCATTATGGCCTCCTTCATACAAGGAAGTTTCTCTGAATTCTTCATATTTGACTTTTTTTATGACACAATAATACTGCATTACATTTATTTATGACAGTTTGTCCAGCCACTGCCTATTCAATAGACACCCACTTTCCTCTTTTGATGTTACAAAAATGTTTTTATAAGTATTTTTGTAAATATAGGGGCCTTTACCTTTATCTTAGACCTTCTTGGGTTATATACCTCTCATGGGCTCTTCTATATACAACCACTAATGTTCATGGGAAAGCTGGGAGACCTGGGAAAGACCTTAACTTAAAAAGGCTAAGGTCTCCCTCTGCATCTGGGGTTATCTCTAGTCGTCTTGATCTATGTCTTGCCACTGGACTCAGAAGACCCTGAAGGAGAGAGTGAGGCTGATGACTTTGCATAACTCTGCCTTACTTAAATCCAACTCACTTGCAAGTCAAGACATCACCCTCCTGATGTCACTGGTCCTCTTTGAGAACAAAGAACAAACAACAACAAACACCATGTTCCCATCTATTTGAGATCATGGATCACCTGCTTTAACCTCCAACTATATCCCAACACATTTAGCTACAGATACCTAAATTTTATACATGGATTCTTCTATTTCTTGGGTCTGGCCTTTGACTAAGCACAAAAGACACTATTTTAGAGAGTTTTTGCTTCAAAGCAAAGAAGACAAATGATCTGTCCCCAAATCCTAATTCACCCTCAACTGTATGTTGCTATTTTATGAGGCAATCTAATCATCTTTATCCCTAAGATTTTACAAACTTATTTACATTCCAAAACACATTGCCCTGGGCTGCCATGTCTTTCTGCTTGGCAAATATGTCAAATTCTTGCTGACTAAGATGGGGTTTCTTTCCCTCTTAATAGTATTTTTTTTCCAATTGCATATAAAGATAGTTTTCAACATTCATTTTTGTAAAATTTTGAGTTCCAAATTTTTCTTCCTCCCCTCCCCTCCCCCCTTCCCAAGACAGCAAGCAATCTGATATAGGTTATACATGTACAATCATGCTAAACATTTCCACATTTGACTAAGGAGATTTTTAGGCTCTTTTGCTTTCCTTGTTAGGACAATTCATTTTTATTGGTTAAACTCCTGCACGAAATTATTGCAGTTAATGTCAATGTCCTTTCCTTCATCCATTTCCAAATTTTTGGTGTGATTAACTTGTTTAAATAGGTCATATTGAAGCTATTTTTATTGTACACCATAGTTTTCTTGTTTTTTCTTGTTTCCTCTAGCTTTGTGTTAATTTTAATCTTTGCTACAACAAATCAAGAGACTGACTATATGAAGGCCTTTGATTTAAGAATGACTCCTCCATTCATAAGGAATAACTTCCTGTCTGTTAAAAATAAAATAAATTTAATTTTTCTATTGTTATTGGGAGCTTGCCATAACTGAAGCCTTCCAGTTATTTTCTTAAAGAAAGTATTTATGACATATAGGTGGGATGATACTTTGTAATCTACAAATCTTTGACCTCTCTCATTAAACATGTTCTCCAAGCTATGTTTCGCTAACCTCAACCTATTCCCATTGTTGTGCTGAAGTCACTGAGTAGCAAAATATATTAATTCAATTTGAAGCATCATGTTATATTCTATATAGAATTTATCTCTTCAACCTTTGCA